TATGGGGTTCGTTGAGCTTCTTGGATGGTCAGCTTTTTATCTTTCATAATATTGGGGAAGTTTTCTGTCAGCAATTCTTCACTAATCCACTCTGTTTTCTCCCCGTTCTGGAACTCTGTTCACTTGCAGATTTTTTGCTTTTGATTGTATCCCACTTAATTCTCAGGGTTTCTTCATTTTTCTTCATTCTTTTTTCTGATTTTTCCTCAGAGTTGTGGCCAAGTGTTTGTCTTCAATTTCACTGAGCCTATCTTCCATCATTTCAAACCTGCTCCTCAGCCCTTCTATGACACTGCCCATTTCTGAAATATTGTTGTTTATCTTTTGGATTTCTAATTGTTGTTTTTGTATAGTTTCTAGTTGTGAATTTATTTGATCATTTTATTCCTGTATTATTTTCTTGAATTCTTCCATTTTTTTGTCTGTGTTTTCCATGAATTTGTCTATTTTTTCCTCATTTTTGTCTGCCTTTTTACTTCAACTCTTGGATAATTCTGAATATTAGAGATTTGAATTCCTTATCAGTTAGGTCTTGTGCCTTTTCTTCTACTGGAAGGTCATCTGGTGTTTTATTTTGTATGCCTACTGCAACCATCCTGCCCTGTTTTTTTTTAATATGTTTTTATATTGTCTGCTGTCTTCGGGGCATTCAGTGGTTATTTTCCTTGTTTACTGATTGTATATTTGTTTCATCCTGCTTTTTTGTTTTATCTGGTTGTCTGAGCAGGTGGGCTATGCGTTCTTTGTCGTTTGCTCGTCTGTGGGCATGATACTTTTTACTTCCTTCTCCAATGGACAGGGTCAGTTACTCAGGTATGGTACAGAAGTTCAGGTCCAGCTGAAGGGGAGTTGCTGGGGTGGGTTGTTTGTGGCACATAGCAGGGCTGACAGTGCAGACCTGGAATCAGTGCAGGGCAGGTTCCAGTAGGCCATGCCTGTGCTGCTTGGTAGTGTGATGTTCAGTGCATGGTGCAGGTAGGCAGGAAGGAGGGGGTAGATTGTGATGTCTGGAGCTAAGATGGGTATGGGAAAGATGAGAGAGAGGAGAGGGGAACAAGAGTCAAAAACATACACACAAACAAAAAAGAGTGCTAAGGGAGCTTGTTATTGGAGTGGAGAGATAAGAGACTGAGAAATGGGGAAAAACAAAAATAAAAAAAAAGAAAAAGGGTAAAAGAAAAAAATGAATAAATTGAGAGACTGGAAATGAAGAAAGACAAAAAGGAATAAGAGAGAGAAGAAAACAAAACAAAGAAACAAAAAAACACCAAAAACAAAAACAAAGACAACAAAAAAGAAATGCCCCCAGAGATGTCCCTGTGCATCTGTGCAGAGTAAGGGAGTAGCTTCTAAGCTGCGTGGTACTGCCTGGCTAGAAGAGGATCCAAGCTGAGAAAAGAAAAAGAAAACAAACAAATCAAAACAGAACAAATCAGAGCAAACAAACAAACAGAAGTCCCTGGGTGTCCCAGAAGCGTGGCGGCACGGGCCGGGAAGCAGTTTCACAGTTGAACAGTGTTTTGAAGCCTTTCAGGAAGAAGCAAAGATGGCGCACGGAGCCAGGTATTTGAGAGAAAGGAGGAGGAGGTGGTGAGAAGGAAGAAATCTAAAGAAGTGGACAAAACCAACACTGGCAGCCAACAAAAGGCACTCAGGGAGCCAGCCAGTGCAGGCAGGTGGAGTCCAAGTGACACCGGGATGAAGGTGGTGCTTCCTGGCCAAGAGACTGCGGCTGCAGGAAGCAGAAGAGGCTAAGTGGGGTCAAGAAGGGTGGGGGGTGGAAAAGCCTATATCACCGGTTACTGGTCATTCTGTCTCCTGCTGGACACTCCGTGAAGCATTTTCTAGTACCCTATTTGCTGATCTCCGATAGGCGTCCAAGATGGCGGATCCGTGCTGCGGTAGCTGATGGGGACCTCTGCATGTATCTCTCCTCACTCTCTGTTCTCGGTCAATTTCTTATTCCATTTGGTGCTTGGCTGAGTTCTTTTCATTTGATTCTTAGGGTTTCAGGATTGATGTGTAACTCTGTTTGACTTAGTTTTTCTGATCTTTGCTGTGGAGGGACGGCGTGGTGCTTCTGACTACAGCATCATGTTGCCAGGAAGTCCTGTAATTTGTTCTTTTATAAACTGCTGTATACAATGCAGACTTTCTCAAATGTAAATGTCTTAAGGTTTAAGTGTAAGGAAGGAAGGGGTCCACTGTGTCCTTACTGCTCGAATCCCTTTCCGACTTCCAGTTTTCCGCTTTTGTATCATGTTGCCATCTTTTTAAATAACAATTTAAAGAAACACACACACACAGATATATTTCTTTTAAAAGCAGCAGTCTAACAAGCAATCAGCCATCAACCCAGATGAAATAAAACTATCAATTTGCTTGAATTCCAGGAGTGAAATAAATAAAGCTCTGTTGGAATTTACCTACACAAATTGAGACTGTGGGGGGAAGAGAGAGTATTCTGCTTTTCCTTTTTTTTTTTCTTTCTTAGATTTGTTTACTGTGTAAACCCCGGGGTTTCTTCATCTTATAATGTGTCTACTGATTAAAAAGATATATGGTTGTTTATTAATCCTCTCAAAGCACTATGCAAATTCACATCACCGTGGGTATACTTTGCCCCTGAAGCTATGAAGTAAATATGGAAGCATTTTGTAGTTAATGAGGCTAAAATATGTTAATTCAAATACTCTGTTTTGAGTAGAATTTTCCTTTAAATCATTAATGAGAAAATGAAGAAAGCTTGGGTGGTCAACCATGAAATGTAAATGAGAGGTGTTTTTTTTTTAGGCATTATCATTCCATGTCACCTGATGTTCAAATTTGAATTTGATATTGCAGAGAATGACCTTACACTTTGCAGTACCATGAAACAATGCAGCTTATGCCCCAGATTTTTTGACAGCAGTATTAAAACTATGATTTTTAAGTACCATTTTCAAATGACAAGCTCAGTGAAAAAATTAGACGTTTTGAATAGAGTGAAGTCAGAAAAAGAGCTTTCCTGCAGTTTATCTATGTGAGAAAGAATATATATATAGTTTTTAATAAAAAAAATAAGAGATGATGTTAGAGCAAAGCAGAGACAAACCTAGAACCTCTTTAGATGGATGTAAGGTTATTAGCGAAATTCCTGAAGTGCCAAATAATGCAGGAAGCATATAGTTACTTTTGTCCTCTTATTAAGATGAGGCACATTTTTTTTTTAAAGCAACAAATAAAAAAGACTCTGCAAGCCTCTTTTCAGCTTGCCAGTGTCTAATGAGCCTCTTGCAGGAGAATGGCAACCACTTACTATTTCCAGGCAGTCGGTGAAAAGTGCGAAGTGCAGCTGCCATCAGAGGCTAAGAAAATCAAGGAGGTCACCAGTCCTTGGTTTTGACTATTCTACCACCACAAAGAGAGATTTTAAAGAAAAGGCAATTAAAAACCCTACACTTTTAAACCACAGTACTACTTCCTTAAATAATTATATGACTGATCCTCTGATTGATTATAAGTTCTTCAACTTAGGTGTTGGTGGCCCTGTAAAAAAAAAAAAAAGTCTCTGTCACAAAATTTCTATCAAACAGCAACAACAACAACAAAAAAATAATTAATTTAGTAGCCTTGGGTACACTATTACACTTGTGCCAGCTTTTCAGGTGTCCCAAGGTTTGGGTTGGTTTACAGACGTAACTAAATTCAAGGCAAAGTTAAGCAATGAAACAAGCTAGTGCCAGAATACCCAATTTAAAGTATTCTGAGTATCTTTAAAGAGCCCTGGTGGTGCAGTGGTTAAAGCGCTCAGCTGCTCACGGAAAGATTGGTGGTTTGAACCCATTAGCTGCTCTGTGGGAGAAAGATGTGGGAGAAAGATGTGGCAGTCTGCTTCCGTAAAGATTATAGCCTTGGAAACCCTAAGGAGCAGTTCTACTCTGTCTCTATAGCGTTGCTATGAGTCCTAATCCACTCTACGGCAACGGGTAAGTATGCTTTACTTTGGAAGGCATCAACAAAAGTAATACTTTACGTTTCAGAAATGCATCCCTATCTTAGCGGGATGAGGAGCGCTGGTGACCGCAGTGGTTCAAGCGCTCGCTGCTAAAAAGTAGACGGTTTTACCCACCAGCCGCCCAGCAGGAAAAGGATGTTGTTCTCCGCTTCCCTAAGGATTTACAGCCTTGGAAACCCTATGGGGAAGTTCTACTCTGTCCCATGAAGTCGCTATGAGTCAGAATCGACTCCAAGGCAGTGGGTTTAGTTTGTATCATCAAGACTCTTGAACGGGAATTACTATAAGGGCACACACCCTTGAACAACCATCACACTGCACTGAGCTCTTGAGAATATTCTGGAAGCATCACTGTGAACAGCTGCTTAATAATATTTAGCAGAAACGGCAGCTTTGGGGAGGAGATACACGGTTTGCCTCTTAGAACGCTTTTCTACTGGAATGGGTTTACTGAGAGCTATATTCCTGTGGCGCTTTAAATCTGTGGACTGTTGAATATCGCTCCGCCTTTTTTGAAGTTACAAAATACCTTCTATCTATGGGGAGGCGGGAATAAAAGTTTGGAAAATTAAATGCCTAAGACTGCAGCCCACCCAGATGGCATACATGCAATAGCACTGCACGAAGAATTTATTCACCCCAATCCCTTGCACCGAATTACCCACAGCACAGAAATTCAGGGACTCTCCAAATTTTGCACCCAAAAAAAAAGGAGGGAAAATGCATGGATCTCGGCTGCAGTTCCGGGACCTACTGAGAGCCACTTTGTTACATGTGTATCCAACGTCCCCAGCACCAAGGACTTGTGGGACGCTGTTCATCCCTGCTCCACTCGCTCTGCGGCTCCCGGAGGTTGTGGTTGTGTTACGAAAGCAGACCCTACCAAGCTGGTAGAGAAGATGCTGCGCACCCCCAAGTGCTCCCGGTGCCGGAACCATGGCTTCCTGGTGCCGGTCAAGGGCCACGCGGGCAAGTGCCGCTGGAAGGAGTGCGCCTGTGAGAAATGCTACCTGATCAGCGAGCGCCAGAAGATAATGGCTGCGCAGAAAGTGCTCAAGAGGCAGGCGTCCGAGGAGGAGCAGGAGGTGGCCCTGGGCGCTCAGGGGCCTGAGCGGGCCACTGGGGCTGCGGCTGCGGTCCCGGGCTCAAGCCTCCGTCGGCTGCAGCCCGCCGCTTCACGGGACTCGGAGCCCAGATCCCACGGCGGTGCGACCTCTGGCTTCCCCGAGAGGCCTCCACGGGGCCCGAGTCCGGGCCCGAGCGCCTTCCACCCGGTTGTGAGCGGCCGCAACCACGTGGGGCCCAGCGAAGGAGCCGCCGCTGCGATGTCCAGTTCTATGGGGCCCCAGCTCGAAGCGGAGGCCGCGGGCAGGGGATGTCCTGGACACCTGGAGCTGCGTAGGCCTCTGTGGCCTGTGCCCAGCCAGCCGTTCGCCGACTTCGGTAAGATTCCTGGGCCCCGCGCTGCCTTGGCCCCACCATCCGTTCCTCTCAGGGATGTAGCCTTCCCGTCCTCCAAGCTGGCGGCCCAGGCCGGCCTGGATCCTGCAGGGATGAGCCATGGGGTCGGGAAGGGGGTGGAGGTGGGATCAGTGCTTTCCAGAGGTAACCTTGGTTTGAGAAGCCCTCCTCAGAACAGGGATTTTGGGTGTGAATGCTTTTTGCAAAAAGGAAAGCAGAGCGATAGAAAGGAATGGGTGGTCCAGAGGGCTTTTAACATTTTGCTATAGTTTTTGCCTTTCCGTTTTGCAAGAAAAAATGGCCCCCATGCCAAGTTGGCGTTGGCTCCTCCTCTGCTGGGACTCACGGGCTTGCGCACCCCTTCCCGCCCTTGGACTGGAGACGCCTCCCCCAGGGCTTCCCTGTGGGTGGCCCGGCTTAACTAAGACTGCGTCTGCGCACCGTACCCTTCCCTCCCTTTCGGTAGGCTGGAGGCTCCTCCCAGAAGACCTCCCCTCAGCTGTGATCTGGTCCAATGCGCCTGCGCACTCCTTCCCGCCCTTTTCTTGGGCTGGAGGCTCTTCCCCCAGGACTTCCTGCAGTTGGGCCCGCTCAAATATAACTGCGCCTGCAGGCTCTTACTGCTCATCCTGGAAAATGGAGGCTCCTCCAAGGAACCTCCCCTCAGCAGCGCCCTGGCTCAGTGCGCCTGTGCACCCCTTCCCGCCCTTTTCCTGGGTGTGGCGGGAATGAAGTTGTTTCCCTGGTGCACCCTCTGCTACACAGCAGGGGAGCAGTTGATCTGTTCAGGATTATTGCCTCTTTTTTCTCCCCTCCCACATGGTGCATAAATTACATTGTTCGCTATGTCTTGCTCCTTTCAGTAGTACAGTTTCAGTTCACATATAGATCGTGTGCTTTAGGTGAAAATTTACAGAGCAAATTAGTTTCTCATTCAAAAATTTATACACGGATTGTTTAGTGGCATTGGTTGCAATCTCGCATTGTGTCCGCGCTCTCCCCCTTTAACTTTCCACCCCTGGTTGCCCGGTTCCATTCGTCCAGTTTTCCTGTCCCTTCCCGCCTTCTCGTCTTTGCTTTTGGACAGGTATTGCCCGTATAATCTCGTACACTTGATGGATCTAAGAAGCATGTTTCTCATATGATTAGGCCTGCCGCTATGAGTCAGAATCAACTCGACGGCAATGGGTTTGGGTTTTTTAATCTTTGGCTGTAAGGTGAACTTTGGGAGTGGCTTCAATTCAATTATAAAGTTGTCCAGGGGCCATAGTCTCAGGGTTCCTCCAGTCTCTGTCAGACCAGTAAGTGTGGTCTATTTGTGAATTTGATCTTTTGTTCTACATTTTTCTCCCACTCTGCCCATGACCCTCCATTATAATCCCAATCAGAGCAGGGTCATGTAGGCTGTGGTTCACATGGTCCATTAGCCCTTTGGACAAATTGCTCCCTTCATTCTTTAGTTTTTTTCCACTCTCCTTTGCTGCGGACTAGAATAGACCGATGGCAGCTTGTAAGCTTTTAAGACTCCAGACATTACTCATCAAAGTAGAATGTAGAACACTTTCTTTATGAAATATGTTATGCCAATTGATGTAGATGTCCCCTGAGCCTATGATCCTTTGCCTTCAAACCTGAGAACTTTATCCTGTGAGGTGTTTAGTTATGTCTAAGAGGTTGCCCTGAGTGTGTCACTTGTGTGCTGTATTGTCTATATTAATATATGAGGAGCACCTACAGTTAGGTATTAGAAATTTCCACCATGGAACCTGTATCTGCCAGTGGGTGCAATACACATATACGGATTTGAGACTTTTAAAAAATGACTCTTTGGGTGTGGACATGTGTTCTCTTGGTATTTTCCTTAAGGCAGTGTGGTAGAGAGAGTACAGATCTGAGTCAGGAGGCCGGGTGGCAGGCTCCTTCTCTCTGTATCAGTCTTTCCTCTCTGGATGCCCTCAAAAGGCCATTTCTGCCTTCTGGGACATTCTGGAAAAATCTAGGTCCTGAGGGAACAGCTGTCTGATGGAGAAGACCAACCTGAAACAGCAATCCTGGGAGAAGGATGCCTTTCCAAGATCACAGGGTGCCTTACTGTGTTGAGTCTCTTAAACAGGGACCTAGCACTTACTATATGTCAGACAGTAGTGAGGAAGAGGTGAGGGGGGAAAGCTACATTCCCTGCAATCATGGATCTTGTTGTCCTAGTGGGAGGGATAGCATTAATTAAAAAATCACGCAAACCAGTGTTTAAAGCTGTAATAGTTGATGATTTAACTATGGTCTGACAGAAGAGTAGGAGCTGAGTATGACTTAAGGAGGCAAGTGGGGTTAGGGGAGAAAGCCTTCCAAGCTGAGGGAACAGCATCTGCAAAGGCCTTGAAATGGATTGGACATAATAAGCTGCTAGGTTATAGTCTGCGATGAGTGGAGGCAGGAGCCAGACTACATGGAGCTTTGTGGGCCATGCTGAGGACTTTTCCGTAAGAGCAGTGGGATGTAGTTGAAGGGTTTCAAATGCAGGGAGGTGATGGAAAATTTTGGGAACAGATAAGGGTGATGGTTGAACAACATGATGAATATAACCTAATGTCACTGAACTGTACATGTGAAGAATGTTGAAATGACAAATATTTTGTTACATATATATTTACTATAATAAAAAAATAAAGAAAAATAAATCAAATTAAAAAAAGCCATGAGGGTCAAAGGTGTAATGGTGTGGGAGTTCTTTGTAAACAAATATGAGTGTTTATTTTGCTGCTGCTACTCTTGGGCAATAATGTGATACCTTTTTCCCTAGCTCTATGTGTTTCTCATGCTTCCCTCATTGCTTGCCTTCTTTAGGGCTCCCTCCGAGCATGAACTTGGATTGTGTGGTGGGCTCTGAGTACCTGGAGAGAGAGCCTTCCAAGCTGTACCCCAGCTGCTCCAGTATGCACTCCTACTGCCCAGTCCCGCTGAGCTACCAGGATGCGTCCCCGGTCCCAGGGATCCCTCTGCAGCGAGGCTTCCGGCACGTGTCCTGCAACCACCACCATGGAGGAGGCTTGGTGAGTCCCGTCTTTGCCTCCATTCTGGGTTCCTCCTTAACTCAGCTGCCTTTACTGATCATCAATCCCATTCTGTGCCAGGCCACATGGTCTGGTAGGAGGGACACAGCCTTAACTCCTGAGGTGCTGATGCTAGAAAACCAAACCCACTGCTGTTGAGTTGATTCCGACTCACGGTGACCCCATGTGTTACAGAGTAGAACTGAGCTCTGTAGGGTTTTCTTGGCTGTCATCCTTATGGATGCAGATTGCCAGGGCTTTCTTCCACAGAGCCACTGGGTAAGTTCGAACCATCAACCTTGAGTTTAGCAGCTGAACGCAGACAGCTTGTGCCACCCAGGGACCTGCTGATGTTAGAAGTGACCTTCATTCTGCTGGTGACCAGAGAGAGGATATCACCCTCCCAGGGCTACAGTTTAAGGCAGAGCCAGAACCAGACCCAGGTTCCCTCCTGACAGGTATGGCCCATTTGAGCCTGCAGTGGGTTTTCAGGAGGAGATGGCATTTAAGCTTAGTCATGAGAAATGCGTAAACCTTCACCAGAACACCTGTCACCTTAGGAAATATTTGTTGAAAAAAATGAATAAAATTTAATCCTTTTATAAGATTAATTATCAGTTACTAACCAGTGTGTTCTTTAAACCTGGAGTTTTGAATACAAAGTATGTAAAAGTTAGGCTAGTCCTGTTGTGTGGAGTACAAGGTAGGAGTGACCAGGTTTTATGACCTTGGATACCCTCCTAGACCAGGATGGTTAAAAGCCCTGTCTTCCTGGCAAACCCTGAGGGACGTGAGGCTGCAGGACAGCGAGAGGCCCAGTGACCTGTCCTGACTTTTGTCTCCATAAGGCTGGACTTGTGGTGGAGGCTGGCTCAAATGCAGCACATGACCTTTACGTTCTCCCTTGGGGCTAAGAGCCAACCCTGGATGTCTTCAGAGAAGTTTCCCTTGGGTGGAGGGTAGAGGAGTGAGGAGAGAGCAGTCTTGTTTGGTTTCATATGGGAAGTGATTAGAAGATGAAAGCTTGACATTTACATAATGTCAAGAGTCATCAGCAGGAGAACATGGAGCCAGCTCTATGGGGTTCCTGCTGTGTGTGGGCAGGCTGGGCACACAGGGCCCTGGTCCCTACTCCTGCTTCAGCTCCAGCAGTGCCTCTTCTTCCTGTTTTAGATATTGTTAAGTTTTACGTACAAGCCATTTGTCATTGATTCACGGGGGAGAGTTTGGAAACTACTGGTCTTGATAATTTCCAGGGTGCCTGTGAGCCTTACGTGAATGTTCAAGGTAGTTGTCATTACCCTTTTCTAGAGACAAGCACACAGGCTCAGAGAAGTTATGGGAGTTGTCTAATGTCACAGAACTGGTGAGTGATGGACTGAGATTAGAATTACCCAGCCGACTGGTGACAGAGCCAGGATGTGCACCTCATCTGCCCCAACTCCAGAGCCCAGGCGTCTTCTGCTGCCCCAAGTGTGTCTCTCCCATAGAGATTGAGCAAATAATGGCCCATGACTGTCACCCTTACCCTGCCCGGTCTGAAATCTGTGGGTGCTACCTTTCTCCACCTGGCCACCCCATTGCAGCCCAGGGAAAGCAAGGCGTCTCCAGCCTCCACACAAAGAGAGGGGCTGGCCAAGCAGAGCCCACACCGTCTGCTCACACAGAAGCCTGGAGCCTGGCGTCCAGGGCTCGGCTCTGATTGACGGGCCCGCCAGACGGCCTTTGTTAGGAGTGTGATCTCAGTCGGTTTATCTGGGCCTGAGTTGCCACCACAGGCCCCAGGCAGGAGCTGTGATCCAGGGAGAGACTTGGCTGAGCAGCTTGGAATTGAAGTGCTAATAATCCCCCCTCCCTCCTCTTCATGTCTGGACAGAAGATCAGGCATTTATGAGACTGTTTGAAACCCAAAAGTATGAATTACTTTTATTCTTGTCCTGCTACTGCTGCCCAGGCTCCGAGATTCTCCTCGGAGACATCTTCCTCCTTCCTACTTCAGTCCCTGCCCCTCCTGCTGCTTCTTTGCTTCTCTAGTCTCCTCTTCACAAAAGAGCACTGTCTGGAGTCGGACAGACCCCGGGTCCAAGCCTACCTCCATCAGTTACTAGCCAGACGACCTGGGGAGGTTACTAGGACCTAGCGGGTAAGAGTACCTATCTCATAGGGCTGTGGAGTGGATTGAATAGTCTGTAATGCATGTAAAGTGCCTAGCCCAGGATCTGGCACATTGTAGGTACTTAAAAGTGGGCTTTCTTCCCTTCCTTGTGGTCAAATAAAGTTGGGAAATACTGGGTTAATCTAAGAATATTTTTGCGGTGCGCCCAGAGCTTTTAATGTTTTCACGTGTAACTCTTCAATGTGGGGGACATAAGCAGTGTTTCTCAAACTCACTCCACTATTTTTTCCCAGAACACAGTTTGCCACATCTAATATTTATTATTATTTTTTTTATTACATTCATGTCTTTCTCGGTTAAGCTTTCAGTTGTGTAGCTGGCACCCCGCTAAATCCTCTTACTTTAGCCTTAGGGTTCTGTGGTATGCGGTTAGCTTCCATTTACTGAAGAAGGAACAGAAGCTCCGAAGAGTTGATTGGTGAAGCCATTTTCCTGAGGTCACCCAGTTTCCCTCCCCTCAGTAACAGCTGACTAGGCCCAGGTTGCCAACTTCTTCCCCTGCCATGTTAGAACAGGACCCCCAAAAGGCCCCCTGCGCACTCGTTTAGGTCGTTCCATGTGCCAGAAAATGAGACGCGTTGTGAGGCGTCCAGACTCTTCCGACTGCAGAGCTGCACATTGCAGGTGTCAGCCGTGTGGGCTGTGGAGTCAGACTTGGGATGCAGGTGTGCCTGCCACTTACCAGCTCGGTGACCTTGGGCCTGTCTGATCCTGTTTTTCGTCATTCCAAGAGGATAGTAGAAGCACCTACCTCACCAGGATGTAAGGATGGAATGGGGCAATGGATCTAAACATAATCTGCGCCAGGCACACACAGAAGGGCTCAGTCCCTGTTGCTCTTCATTTGTTCCCACCTTCTCTGAGGTGTGTGTGCCTGTATTCCTTCTCGCCTTCAGTCATTTGTCAGGTGTTTGCTGAGCACCCTGTTCCAAGTGCCCTGCGCCTGGGTGTTTCAGGTTACAGAAGCACATCTACCCTGTGGGGATGAAGCTCCCCCACTCGGGGCAATACAACACATTTTGATCAGCCCATCTGGGCTAATTATCTCCTGTCTCTGGCTTCTGTGCTGTGTGTGCCATGCAGGTGTCAGAACCCGTGGGAGACTTCCAGCCAAGCTACTACCCTCCCACCCCACCGCCGCAGCAGCCCCAGTTCCTCCCTCCAGGCTTCCTCTCTGCGCTCCACTTCCTCCCGCCACCACCTCCACCGCCGCCACCATCATCTTTCTCACTGACTGTCCTGTCTGACACGGACAAGGAAAGCACTGGTAAGTGGGCACCGGTCTTCCAGACAGGCCCTGGGAGAGCCAGGAAGACTCCCTGGAGGAGGAGGGGCCTAATCTGAAGTATGTGTGGAGAGGAGGGAGATGGAGAACAGAATTTCAAATATGCTGGGCCCTGGGATAAGCTCTCTCTGCCCCCACCCCGCCAGACCCCGTAAGTAAGCATTTCAGGGAGGTGGGTTTCCATTCTTAGGTGAGGAAGTCAAGGCCCCAAGAGATTCTTGTAGATATAAATGGAAAAGCTGGGATTTGAACAGAGTTCTCTATCTGGCTCCAAGCCCAGTGCTAATTCCCTCACCCTCACAGTGCCCATGGGCAGAAGTGTGGAGGATGGCATGCATGTGGTATGCTGAGAGACCACAGGGGCCAGGCCTCTCCCCATAAGGAAGCAGCAGCTGGAGCCGATTTGGGGCCAGTGGGGACGTTCTGCCCCAGACCACTCTGGAGAGAGCACCAGACCAGGAGCTGGAGACCTGTCCTTTGCAGCTCTGCCACTGGTGCACTGGATGACCTGGCGACTCATGCCTCCTCGGCCTCAGTCTTCTCATCTGTAAAGTGAACGCTGTCACAGGGTTACTGCGAGGGTCGACTGAGACTTTGATGTGAAAATGCTTTGGGTGTTGTTTTGAGGGCTCTTGCAGCTTTAAAAACTCTGGAATTTTTTTCCTTCCAATCCCCCCCCAGAGGCTCGTACAATTTGGAAAGGGCTGGCAAACTCAACGAGATCCAGAAGGTCCTTTTCTGTAAAACTAGGATCAGTGGCTGCTGCCCAGCCCAGCTAATGGGGCCCGAGGCTTTCTCCTCCTTCCTTAGTGAGCAGCCTGGCCAAGATGGGCAGGGCTGGAGTCCAACTATTGCTTGGAACCGCAGCGCCGGTCGCAAGGCTTTGCTGAATCACAGTTGGAGGAATATCCTGAGGTGCTGGCGGGAGACATGGTGACTAGACAGGCCATCTCCTAGTGAATAATAGTACATTCTAGCCCAGAAAGTTGAAGTAAAATGCTATCATCAGAGACAAGCCTGTTAGCTGCTCATCAAGGCTGATTCCAGTGATAGGACACCTGGAGGAGAGCTAATTTAAACCCGTGGCCAGACTTTTAAGAGAGTTTGTCATTTGTTAGAATGTGCCTGCGGGCTCTGATAGAACTGAGAATACCCGACAAGCCTGCAGGGGACCTTCCCCTCTCAGTGATGGCAGGTCATGACAAGGGTACACCCGGAGACCCTGGAGAGATTCAAACCCCCCAGACCGATGAAGTGTTTCTAGATTGTAAAGCTACATCCCACTCATTATCAGCTAGGATCCTCTGTCCTGACAGACAGGTGACACGGGCAGAGGAGGAGTCCTGGCCCAGGAGGCAGTACTGCCCAGCAAACAGCACCTGGCTTTGGGGCAGGACAGAGTGGGGTCCAAGGCCAGGCTCCCATGCTTTCTCTCATGCCAGGGTTAGCAGAATATTGAATCATGGGGCTTAGGAAGCCAAAAGAGCCAATGGAAAAAGTAATGTAAATAATAATTGCCACATCTGTTGGCTACTTAATTTGTGCCAGGCACTGTGCTGTGTGCTTTCCACTTAATTCTCAGACAGCCCAATAAAGTAGATGCTATTTTACGTATAAGGAACAGAGACAAAAAGTAACTTCCCCGAGGTCACACAGCTAGTAAGTAGGGGAGTCTGGACTCCAGGGCCCACAATCCTAACCACAGCCGCATTCTGCCTTTCTTAGGTGGCAGACCTAAGTGTGCATATTTTAAAGAAACTCCTTTACAATCTAGATTATCTGGGGCCCAGTGGAGAGGGAGCAATGATCAGATCTAATCTCACCCTGAGAAGCAGGTGGTATGGTGATGTCATCCCCATTTTAGAGATGTGGCCCCTAGAGGCAACTCCACAGATCTAACTTCCAGTTTGGAGCTCTTGCCACGACCCCTGGGTTCTCCTTGTGGCCAGCATCCTCCACTGTGTTGTTTCCAGGGCCTGTGTGTTGGCCTCCACTCCCCCTCGGGCGCAGCTGGGAGGCCCTCGGATGTGCCCCCAGGTCTTGTAATCAGCACAGAGCTTGGAGATGGCCGCTGGCACGTGGTGCTGTGGGCAGTGAGGCCCCTCTCTCCCAGACACGCGTGCTAACAACCATGGACATGCAGGAGAACCAGCAACAACAATCACGCTTCCCAGAGAGGAAGCAAAACTGGGAGCACGGCACGTGTGGTTGTTTTTCCTCCCTGCCAGGCCGTGGAGCGTTCTGGACACGGTGTCGGCAGTGGGCAGGACCTTCAGTAGCAGAGGGGCAGGGGCAGTGCTGGTGCAAACTACAGATACACCACTGGAGGCATTCCCACTCCTGCCAGCTGAGGGTATTTTTAACATCTGGGCTGCAGCTACAACTAAAGAAAAATATGTAGATGGTAGATAGGTATTCATTCTTGGATTTGAACTGTAAGACCTGTGTAAGGGACTAGATGGCCGTCTCTGGTGAAGAGAAAGAGTTAAATTTGTATGAGTGTGCACCAGGAACAGCCATCTGCTTGAGATGCTTATGGCCCTCTCTGCTTTTACAAATCTCTTTAAAATGACAGAACAATCTTAAGAGCCAAGTGAGTCTGGTGATACCTCCCCCATTTTACTGAAGAAGAAACTAAGGCTCAGGGAAATGAATGAACCTCCAAGTCCTACACTAGTTAGTCCTGGTTGCGCAGTGGTTAAGAGCTCAGGCTGCTAACCAAAAGGTCGGCAGTTGGAATTCAGCAGCTGCTCCTTGGAAACCCTATGGGACAGTTATGCTCTGTCGTATAGGGTCGCTGTGAGTTGGAATCGACATGACGGCAACAGGTTTGTTTTTTTATTTTTTACAGTAGTTAGTGGTCAGAGTCCCTGGGTGGTGCAAACAGTTAAATGGTTGTCAGCTAAATGAAAGGTTGGAGGTTCAGGTTCACCCAGAGGCACCTTGGAAGGAAGGCCTGGAAATCTACTTCTGAAAAATCAGCCATTGAAAACCTTACGGAGCATAGTTCTACTTGGACACACATGGGGTCACTGTGAGTCAGAATCGACTCAATGGCAACTGGTTACACTAGTGGTCCGGTGAACTCCAAGCCCTGCCCACCTCCGGCTGCTCACTGAGGGAGGAGGAAAAGGCCTCAGGCCCCACCAGCTGGACTGGGCAGCAGTCCCTGATCCTAGTTATTCAGGTAGAATGAGTCTGCCACCAGTTGCACACTTGCCACATGTGAGGCACCTAGATCTGGTAGTGGAGAGGTGGTAGGGCATGGCCTGAAGCACACTGGCCCTGGAGCCAGGAGGCCTGGGTGTGACCTTGGCACCTCATTTTCAACATCTGTAAGTCTGGACAAATAATGGTCCCTACCCTGTGGGGTTTTCTGAGGATTAAAGAACATGGAATGACGAAGGCATTAGTGAAAGTTGTTGTTAGGTACCGTTGACTTGATTCGGACTCAGAGACCCTTTGTACAAAAGAACGAAACACTACCTGGTCCTGCACCATCCTCAGAATCATTGTTATGCTTGAGCCCATTGTTGCAGCCATGTTTTGCTGACCCTCTACCAAGCAATGATGTCCTTTTCCAGGGATTGGTCCCTCCTGATAACATGACCAAAGTACATGGGACGAAGTCTCACCATGCTTGCTTCTAAGGAGCATTCTGGCTGAACTTCTCCCAAGACAGATTTGTTCGTTCTTCTGACAGTCCTTGGTATATTCAGTATTCTTCCCCAACACCATAATTCAAAGGCATCAATTCTTCTTTGGTCTGCCTTATTCATTGTCCAGCTTTTACATGCATATGAGGTGATCGAAAATACCGTGTTTTGGATCAGGCACACCTTAGTCCTCAAAGTGTCATCTTTGCTTTTGAACACTTTAAAGAAATCTTTTGCAGCAGATTTGCCCAATGCAATAAGTCATTTGATTTCTTGACTGCTGCTTCCATGGGTGTTGATTGTGGATCCAAGTAAAATGAAATCCTTGACAACTTCAGTCTTTTCTCCATTTATCATGATGTTGCTTATTGGTCCACTTGTGAAGATTTTTGTTTTCTTTATGTTGAGGTGCAATCCATACTAAAGGCTGTAGTCTGATCTTCATCAGTAAGTGCTTCAAGTTCTCTTCACTTTCAGCAAGCAAGGTTGTATCATCTGCATATTGAAGGTTGTTAATGTATCTTCCTCCAATCCTGATGCTGCATTCTTCTTCATATAGTCCAGCTTCTCAGATTATTTGCTCAGCATACAGATTGAATAAGTATGGTGAAAGGATACAACCCTGACACACACCTTCCCTGCCTTTAAACCACGCAGTATCCCCTTGTTCTGTTTGAACGACTGCCTCTTGGTCCATGTACAGGTTCCTCATGAGCACAATTAAGTGTTCTGGAATTCCCATTCTTCACAATGTTATCTGTAATTTGTTATGATCCACACAGTCCAATGCATTTTCATGGTCAATAAAACACAGGTAAACATCTTTCTGATATTCTCTGCTTCCAGCCAAGATCCATCTGGCATCAGCAGTGATACCCCTTGTTCCACATCCTCTTCTGAATCGGCTTCAATTTCTGGCAGTTCCCTGTTGATGTACTGCTACAACCACTTTTGAATGATCTTCAGCAAAATTTTACTTGCGTGTGATATTAATGATATTGTGTGTGTAGTGAAAGTTAGCTGTTATTTATTTCACCTTATCCCTATGCTGACTTTGCAAGGTAGATCTCATCTCATTTCACACAGAGGGAGCGAAGGTTCAGAGATGGGGAGGGGCTTCTCATCGCCACGCAGCTTAGGAGGAGCAGAGCTGGAGTTTGAACCTGAGTCTCCATCATGTGGCCAGAGAGAGAATTCCAGTCTCTGACCCCTAGCAAATTAAAGGCAAATAAATTCTCTGAAGGTGCTGAGAATGATGAGAATGCCTTATAGAAAATTTACATCTGAAAATAGGTATTTTCCCCCTCTTTCTAAATCCAGTCTCTCTTCTTTACCCTTCACAGATGACCAGGATGCGGAGACACCATGTGAGTCCAGCCAGCCGTCTTCTCAGGAGCAGCCCAACTAAGCCCAGGCCCTCCGGGACCAGCAGAGTGGGGCCTAGGGGGGCACAGCAGTGATTTTCTTGTCTGTGTTGAGTAATGTGTGGGGAGGAAGGATACTGATAGATTTAAGATTGCAACTAATTCCCATTTCAAGATAGGACGAAGGAGGGTGATTTGTCAGGAAGGTGATTTCTCAGCTTTTCCCAATCCTGAGATCTGGGGCTGTTACTGGGGGGGCCAGGGCTCTGAGGAGTTGGGGGCTAGTGGAAGCTTGTGTTTAGGAATGAATTTAACCATCCCTGGGTGTACTGCCCTTTATTGGACTAACCCCCGTAGGCGGTTTTTGATTTCCACAGGCCCCGCTACAGGACAGGCTGTGCCATCTGACGCAGCCTTCTGCTGCCTTTGCCTCATCCCCAGCTGGGGGCAGCGCTGTGCTGGGGGCACCACAGATAGCAAGCTTCCAGCCCATCTGGGCAGCCAGTGCGAGCAGCCAGGACCAGGGGCGCTGACAGCAGGTTCTGCAGCGTCCTTCCTTGCTGACCTGGCTCCAGCCGTCTGCCTGGCCACTGCCCCTTCCCCTCCTCCATGGGGTTTACTAGTCAGCATCCTGACCCCTGGAGTGGCTTCATTCCCCTCCATAAAGTTTTAGCAGTTTTAGGCATCATTTCTGGTTAAAAAGAAGAAAAAAAAATCTATTAAAGTTTGACTATTTGATGTTTTTATAGTGATTACCAACTTAGAAAAGTAGGCTGTTCATAAGCACTGATGCAGTTCACAGGGAATAGAATGATATCCCAAATTACCTATGACGTCAGCACTGCCTTCTCTGGGGACAGTTGACTGTTGAAATAAAATGAGCAATACAACTCCTGTGGAAGGTGTATTCTCTCTTTGAATTCTTGTGGAAGGCAGCGTTGGGCAGGAGCCTGGGTAGGGGAGTCAAGGGGCCTGGCTTCCTGCCTCTACTGTGCACTTCGGTGAGTTCTCCCTTGCTTTAGTTATCAGGTGAGAAGGTTGGGCCAGGCCAGTAGGTTTCTTTATTTTTACTTTTTTAAGTAAAAGGCTTTCTTGTAGCTTTCCTTCCCTAGCCCATTTCATTGTCCCTGCAGAGGGATATGGTTAAAGAAGACACAGTTTGATCCCATTCTGCTGTTTTAGGGTCCTGGGCTCTTGCCTTGGTTTCAGTTGCTCCTTCATTTAAAAAACATCCTGCGTCTCCTGGATTCAGAGCCTGGCCATCACCAGATGTGCCCGTGAGAACCATGGAATCTACTGGGAGAGACACAAATAGCCCAGTGGATCAGTGTTGAAACAGGTACAGGGGCTATAGGGTGGTCAGGGAAGGCCTCCTGGAGGAGTCGTCTCAACAGAAGCTTAAAGGGCAAGACTGAGTTAGGCGAGGAAGAGGAAGATGGCAGGGGTGTCAGGACCTGGAGTGAAGGATTCCAGGGTGCATGGCAGCATCCTGTCCTCTGTCTGGAGAAGGGCTGGCACCCAGGAGTTGGGTCCAGCAGGGGTAACAGCTGACACGCTTCCTGTCTTGCCGGTGGGCAGGGATGTCAAAGCATCCTCCAGGGACAGGTGATGGGGATCATTGAGAAGTGATGCCCTAACTTTTCTAACTGGACATGTTGTCAGGAGGGATCAGTCCCTGGAGAAGGACGTCATGCTTGGTAAAGTAGAGGGTCAGTGAAAAAGGAAGACCCTCAACAAGATGGATTGACAACGGTGGCTGCAACAATGGGCTCAAGCATAACAACGATCGTGAAGATGGCGCAGGACCTGGCAGTGTCTCATTCTGTTGTACATAAGGTTGCTATGAGTCTGAACCAACTTGAATAACAACTGTTCTCACAGCATCAGTGTAGTAGCTGGGGGTCCATAGCCTGTGCCTGCTTTGTTGGAAGGCACTAGAGCTGGTACAGTCATGGGAATTTTTCAGTTACTGCTTCACAGACAAGTGCTTTCAGCAGGGCAAAACCAGACAGCTCAGCCTGAGGCCTGGGGGTCAGTATTGGCTTCAGTCTAGACCTAATGAGGCGGCGGTTTGGGCCTAGCCTGGCTGTGGGGCTGAAGCTGGCGGCTGCCAAAGTGCTGATCCTGGCTCTGGGGTCTGCAGTGCTGCAGGGATCCTGGGAGGGTGGGAGCAGACTGGTTTCAGCTTGGCCTCACCTGCCCTCACTGGACCCTGCCCTTATGTCAGTGTGGTGAGGTGGGGCTGGATCAGTGACCCTGTTTTTTCATCACCCTTTAAGTTTTGTGTTGGATACCATGTTTTGAAAGATTTCTCAACCAGGCTGCATTAATTAATAAAGCTGTTTTCCAATTTCTGATCAAAGCATAGAGATACACATGAGATGGTCCTTGCAAGCACACGCCACACTATTCCAGATCAATGCAAGGAAACTGGATGTTTAGTCGACCTGTGGGGTTTGACCTGTGGGAGGCTTTGGCCTGTTGCAGAGTCTGTGGGACTCCAGGAGGGGGAGGATTTCTCAGTTCTCTAGAGGCCTATGATCTAAAAAATCTCCAGAGACTGGTCTTCCTGCAGCATTAGGGGTGTCCACTGGGTGAATAGGCCAACTGTGGGGCAGGGGGCTGCCTCAGTGCTGCTGCCTGGTCTGCTGGTTTTCAGAGTGGGAGGCCTGCTTTTCTCCCCGCTGGTGTGAGCCCTAAGCTACAAGAGCCCCCAGCCTGTGTGCTCTCACCGTGGTCACCCTTGCAGGGCTGTGGACTCTTATTCCCTGGAGCCTTTCGGTCAATCCAATCCTTGCTCCTGAATGCCCTGCCCCTCTACTCTGTCCACTGGCAGCACAATGAGCACTGAAAAGCCAGATCTGCCCATGTCCCTGCTCTGCTCACAAGCTTTCCGTGGCTCCCCACTGCCAAGATGGGGCCAACATCTTCAACAGGACCTGCCTACTCACCTCTCCAGCCTCCTCTCCCTTTCACTGGCCCAGCCCAGGGGCTGCAAGGGGTAAGGTCAGCCAGGCTCAGGAAGAAAAGATTGGAAAGTGGATAGAGTGGTGGCTAGGGAGAGCACTCCAAAAACCAAACCCATTGCTGCTGAGTTGATTCCGGACTCATAGCAACCCTACAGGACAGAGTAGAACTGCCCCATAGGGTTTCCAAGGAGCAGCTGGTGTATCTGAACTGCCAATCTTTTGGTTAGCAGCCGATCTCTAAACTACTAAGCCACCAGGACTCCAGGGAGAGCGCTAGTAACCTCTAATGACCGAGGTTTGGCTATAAGCCCCGAGAATGTTCTGGAAGGCAGCCGCCGGCTTTCCTGGACGCCGGATGCACTGGCGGGGCGCGGCCAGGTGAGGGCACTAGGGCAGCAGCAGTGGGCGGGGTCGGCGGGAACCGACTGCCGCGGGGGCGGGGCGTGTTGCCTAGTGACCGGCCTTCCCAGAGGAGCGCACGGCCCCGTCGCCCCTCCTGGGGAAGCTGCGCTCGGGGCATAGGTTTCTGTTGAAGCGTCACCTGGAGACCAGGGACCAAAACCAAAACTAAACTCGTTGCTGTGGAGTCGATTCCACCTCATGGCGACCCTATAGGTCCCTGAGAAATCAAAATTATAAGGCTCTAGGATGAGCTGTTTGATTGCTAACCTCTCAGCAAATCACTTTGCACAGCCCTACCTGTGAAATGGATGCCCTCCTGACTTCTTCAGCTTTGTCTGCAGAAGTTCAGACACACGTCCACCCCCAGCACTTTACCGGGTGTCCCATGGCGGTATTCCCCTGCTTTCTCTCCTTTCTGCATTTTTGCACTTGCTGAATCCTCTGCGTAGACCACTCTTCTTCCAGCTTCACCTAGTCATCTCGTTGTCCGTTAAGACTCAGCTCAGGCGCCCCTTCCTCCAGGAAACCTTTCCTTAACGCCTCAGCCTGGATTAGGGCGCTGGTGCAGTTAAACGCTGGGCTACTAACAGAAAGGTTGACAGAGCCTATCCAGAGGTGCCTTGGAAGAAAGGCCTGGCGATCTGCTTCCAAAAGGTCACAGCCTTCAAAACCCTATGAAGCAGTTCTACTCTGAAACAGAAGGCAACTGCTTTGATTTTTGGTTTTGGTGTGGGTCCTGCCCAGGCTCTTGCCCTCTAACACAGCGCTGATCCCACTGAATCCATGCTGTCCTTCCCACAAGTCTGTGGCTTCCTGGAGTCAGTTACAAGGTCAGATTTGTCTGTGTCCCCAGCTTTGTCTTTGTGTCTCCAGCTCCCAGTGTGGGCCCGGGACTGCATAGGGCAGTGGTCAACCAGCGCCTGCTGCGAAACAGATGAATTGCAGGGCATCTTGTGGATTTGGGGGTGGAGAGTTGAGGAGCCCTGGTTTTGGCGACTCACTGCAGCATCTTTTGCCTTACATTTTTGCCCAATCTACTGGGACTCCTTGCAGGAGGCAGAAGAACAAAGTCAGCCTTCACTGAAACTATACCGTGTGCAACCACTGCACCCTTTCGCTCATTTAATCCTCACAACCACCCATGTAAGAGGCACTTTATCCCTGTTTTATGAAGGAAACTGAGGTGTAGAGAGGGGAAGTGATTTGTCCAAAGTCTCACAGATTGCAAGCGGCAGAGCCCCAGGCAAGCGTGTGGCTGAGAGTGTGCAGAGGGCTGCTTACATCCTAGGCGCCAACTAAACCAAGAAAACCAAACCCATTGCCATGGAGTCGATTCTCACTCATAGCGACCCTATAGGACAGAGTAGAACTGCCCCATAGGGTTTCCAAGGAGCAGCTGGTGAATTTGAACTGCTTACCTTTTGGTTAGCAGCTGAGCTCTTACCCACTGCACCACCAGAGCTCCCGGGTGCCAGCTAGAGAGTTTTAATATCCATTTTGCCTTGAGTTACCATCTTGAGATTTTTGAACGTGAAGCACATGAGTGCACCCTAGTTTCTGGGTAAATTCTAGTGTAGCGTAGGGAGAGCCACCTAAGGACATTGGCCTCATTCTACCTCTGCCCCTCCACTGACCATAGCAGGCAAGGCCTCCTGAGAGAATCCTAAAGCTTA